CCTCATCAACTCCCAGGTCACTCCCCTGTCGATCCGCGTCTCCACCCCGCCCACCCCTTCCTAACCCCGCCCCTCACGCCTCTTTGCGGGGATCTGTCTCTCCTAGAGCGACCCGTCCCTCGCCGGTGCAGGCGCTGCCGCTGTCCCAACTGTCTGAAGAGCTCGGCCAACCCCTCAGCCACGCCCACCAAACGCCGCATGCACGTCTGTCACTACCCGGGGTGTGGCAAAGAGTACGGCAAGACCTCCCACCTCAAGGCCCACCTCCGCGGTCACGCCGGGGAACGCCCCTTCGTCTGTCGCTGGCTGTACTGTCAGAAACGCTTCACGCGCTCGGACGAACTCCAGCGGCACCTGAGAACGCACACGGGCGAGAAAAACTTCCAGTGCAACGACTGCGGGAAGCGGTTCATGCGCAGTGACCATCTCAGCAAGCACATTAAAACTCACGAGGTGAAGAAAGAGGGCGGAGGCGACAGACGCGAGCAGGAGGCGGGGTCCAGCGAGGACGGAGAGAGAGAAGGACACGACGGAGAGAGAGAAGGGCACGACGGAGAGAGAGACGGACAGGACGGAGAGAGAGAAGGACACGACTTCCCAGCGCGGGAAAACTCCTCGCTCGACCTGGACTACGACGAGAAGATGACCCACACAGACGTGAGCAGCGACAACCAGGAGAGCAACCACGGGACCACCGACTTCGACGATTCTGACGATATGGACGATGACGAATTCGACGACGACGACAACGATGAGGAAGACATTGACGTGGGGTACGAGTGTGTAGATTACTACCGAGATCTCTACGACGTGGGCTCCAGGCACAAAGACTCCATGTCCGTCTCCAGCGCCGCCATAGAGCGTGGGGACAGCACATCTCCCAATGACGTAGAACACCACATAGATCGCCTACGTCAGGACCCACCGTCCTCTGATTCGGAGAGGAGTACCACCACACACACAGACACGACCTCACACAAATCAACGTCGTCCTCTTTACCTAGTTCTGGCAACTCGCTCGTTACGACGACACCCTCTCTGTCAAAGAACGGACACAACCACTCGACGGACTCCACGCGAGGCGAGCATCATCATTCTCCCGCTCACGATTTATTGATGAAAGAGTCTGCTGCTCACGAACAGAACAACAGAGACATGTTGGTGAATGATCTGACTCACATGAATCGTCAGCCGTCTGTGTGCATGGAGGGAATTCCTCTGTCGGGATCGCCTCACGAGGATAAAGAGAACAAGCCGACCACACGGACGTAACACCCATGTCGGACTCAGTGATGTGCGGTGAGGTTCACAATTTTTTAAAGCCAGGATTCGTAGGAATCGACTCCGAACCCAATTACTTACTTTCTAATGATGTGATTTCTGCCAGTGGTTACCTGGTTGGTTCCGAACATCTTCAGGATTTCCTACCAACTGAAAATGTTTGTTGTGTCCCGCGCGCTCATATGACCTTATGCAGTTGTGAGCACCGTAAAACACTTACAATATTTTTAGGTTTTTTTTAAACGCCACAATACGACAGATTCGTCTCGCCACCTAGAAAAACAAACGTGTTTGGTGGGTGGTTGGCGGGTGCTCTGGTGTGGTTCGCTTCTTCTTTCCTATCAAATATCTATCGTCCTTATCTCCCCTTCTTCTTTTTTATGTTTGTTACTCTCTTGTAACACCTCTAATCTTCTGACCCGCATATGATCTTATGCAGTTGTGAAAGCCGTAGAACGTCTACTAAAACTTTTTTTTTTAACGTGTTTGATTTTGAAGGCCACAGTGGAATTAATTAGTTAAATTCGATCGTATTGTGTCTTCAAAGAGGCAGCTTTTTGTCTCATCCATCAAGGAAAATCTGTCCGGCCCTGACTTTACCCTATCCGTACGCCCTGGGGTCATTTTGTACCCCGGGGTTGTATTCTTCACATTTTAGAATACTTCTAGTACGAAGATCTCTTTGAGACGTTTCGTATTTCTCAAAAAATCATATTGACAGACTGCTTATGTAAAGCGTACGGATCGGATTAACGAGTAAATTTCCTCTTTTGGAAGTGGTGGCACAGAGTTCCCCAGGTCGTATGGATACGATAGTAAAACACAAAGTACGGATAGGGTTAATCAAAATAAATCCAACTGGCTGTGTGCAATGGGTATTATTAAGTTCTTCGCTGCTCTATTCCCACCTACACGGGGAATTTTCTTTAGAACAGAAGAATAACATTGGTCTTTCTGCTGAGATACAGTTTCCCTCTCCTCGTTTCTGCCATACCTCCTCCCCTGGAATACCTAAATTGTGTCGATTGGGGTGTAAAACGTTTACAATGAGTTACGACATGTCATGCCTTTGTCTCACCGATATCTGGCGAGTTGTGATAAATGTGGCAATTGTAGAGAGAGAAAACAAATTTAATGGTAATATAAGATCCTGGGTAATAGGATGTTGCTAAATAATTATTATGATGTTATTATATAAAGTGAGCCGTGCTGACAAAATGAGTTACTTCTCGCAATCCGTAAATGGAGATATTGGCAAAAAATCAACACTAGGATCAAATTTGTAGATTGTCTATTGATGCCATATTCTTTAAGTGTAATATGCTTGTTATTATTTCATACTTATGTATTTTAAAATAACAACTTATCAGCGTGATGTATCTCTTTCCATATAGCTCGCATCCAAGAAGTAACTCATTTTGTGTGCACGTTTCACAAGAAATGGTAATATAAGATCCTGGGTAATAGGATGTTGCTAAATAATTATGATGGTGTTATTATATAATTGTGTTTTTTTGCTCGTGTGCTGTTTTCTTGTTTGTGCTATTACTATTATTCTGGTTATTATTAATTTATATTATTACATGTATTTTATTAACATTATTCAATTGTTATCATCATTATTATTTTATTCTTACTTGGTACTTACTTATCATTAAATTTTCATTATTATCGTTATCGTCAATAAAACTATTAGATCTATCGTTATTTTATTATTACTGATAATGATGATGATAATAATAATAATTAATGATGATAATGATAATAATAATAATAATAATAATAATAATAATTGAAAAAAAATAACGATTTGTATTATTACTGTTTATTATTATTAGTATATTATTATTATTATTATTATTAGTATATTATTATTATTATTATTATTATTATTATTATCATTATCATCATTATTATTATCATCATTATTATTGTTATTATTATTATTATTATTATTATTGTTTTTATAACTATTATTATATTATTATTGTTTATCGTGTTATTGTCATTCTTCTTCTTCTTCTTCTTCTTCTTCTTCTTCTTCTTCTTCTTCTTCTTCTTCTTCTTCTTCTTCTTCTTCTTCTTCTTCTTCTTCTTCTTCTTCTTCTTCTTCTTCTTCTTCTTCTTCTTCTTCTTCTTCTTCTTCTTCTTCTTCTTCTTCTTCTTCTTCTTCCTCTTCCTCTTTCTTCGTGGTCTTCTTGAGCGTCGTGATCTTCTTCTTCTTCTTCTTCGAAATCTCTCTCTCTCTCTCTCTCTCTCTCTCTCTCTCTCTCTTCTTGGGGGGCTTCTTCTGGATTATCATCCTACATAATAATATAATTGTTATGTTTGGTGTTATCGTCTTCATCACCGTTACCGCTTTCATTATTATTATTATTATTATTATTATTTTATAAATGCAATTTTCTTATCACTTTTAATTTTATTATTATTATTAAGTCTTAGATATTCGTCACCTGCTCCAACATTGTTGGTAAAGTCATAGATATTTGATACATTTTCAATATATATTGCTGTTATAAATATTTTTAAAATTATCAATATTATTATTATTATTATTATTATTATTATTATTATTATTATTATTATTATTATTATTATTATTATTATTATTATTTTAATTATTATTGTTATTGTTATTTTTATTATTACTAGTTTTAAAAAAAATATTATTATTATTATCATTATCATTATTAGTGTTGTCATCGTTATTACAGTTGTCACCACCACCATCATCATTGATTAGTAACATCATTTACACTGTTGTCATAATTTTACATTTGAAGAAGGAATTTACTCTTCTACATCATCTTCGTACGAGTAGTTGTGTTATTGGCAAAGTCATTGTGACTTTGAACTCATGCAGTGCCCTATCTATAGCTGATGATCCTCTGTGATGTTGGTTTCTCATTAGTTTCATTTTGCTGTTTCATAAATTTTATGTGGGTGGCTGGCTCTGCGGGTGCTCTGGTGTGGTTTGCTTCTTCCCCCCCTTCTCCTTTTTTTATGTTTATTACTCTCTTGTAACTCCTCTAATCTTCTGACCCTCATATGACCTTTTGCAGTTGCGAGCGCCGTAAAACTCTTACTAAAACAAACAAATAAATCATGCTCTGGTTTTGCTGCGAAGTTTGATGGGTTTTCACCCACATATCCCTATTTTTTTTTACCCCAAATCTCAAGCATCCCGATTTCGATAACGTGTGTTGCGATTTTTTATTTATTTATTTATTTATTTATTTATTTATTTATTTATTTGTTTATTTGTTTATTTTGTTCCGTCTGTTGTGCCAGATTTTTCAAAAAACTTACACCACCTTCATATATTATTTATGGACACCCCTGGACAATTTCAAGGTCGGCTTCGCACTTGGCAGTCACACTGGTGATTTGTCGTTGAACCCAATCCCCCCCCCCCCCCCATCCCAATCCCAACTTTCTTTTATCCCCTTGAGATCCTGATTTGCAGTTTCCAAGGACCCTTAAGCTATGGAAGTCACTGAACTTTGGTGGCCATTGTTTCGCTAATTTTACTTCTGAAGCCAGGTGACCCCACCTCCTTCAATCGCAAATATCTCGACTTCTATTTTTAAGATAAATGGATATTTTTCATCGAAAGCAAGGCAAACGAACAACATGTAAGATGATACCTATAACTCCATATGCCCACAAATTGACAAGCGCCTGATTTCACCGCGTTGTGATACATTTCATAAAGTGGCAGGTCTTGTTTTGTTTTTGGGAAGTGTTTTACGGCGCTCGCAACTGCATAAGGTCATATGAGCTCGCGGAACACATTAAACATTTTCAGTTGGTAGGACATTTTGAATTTTGCCCGGATGGCCGCTGAAGCCTACTCTTGTCGGTTTTTGACAAGTCTGCAGGCTTGAGCGGACCATTCAAACATTTTCCCCCCTTTTTTTGTCCCTCAGAACGGTTTTGTCTATTTCTAGATTTAAAAAAAAGATGTATTATTATGATCTTCATCATCATCATGATTATCATTATCATCGTCATTATTATTATTATTATATTATTATTATTACTATTACTATTATTATTATTATTATTATTATTATTATTATTACTATTATTATTACTTTTATTACTATTATTATTATTATTAGGCTATTGTTGTTGTTGTTATTATTATTATTATTATTATTATTATTATTATTATTATTATTGGGGGTTTTTGTGGAGGGATGGGCGGGGGGCAAAATGGGAGGTGGCAAGGGGGAGGTTTATTTAGATGATAAGAATATTCTGTGCTTTGTCCGTGTGTTTCATAATATCAAGGTTTGAATTGGCGGGAATTACCTTGCTGCACTCGTCTTTGTTGTCATATATCCATCAACTGTCCATTAACTGCTGTGATATTAGACGAGTCCACTGTAATATTATGTGAGCCGTGCAGACAAAATGAGTTACTTCTCGCAGTCCACAAATGGAGATATTGGCTAAGAAATCAACCCTAGGGTCAAATTTGTAGATTTTTCTATTGATGCCAAATTCTTTTAAGTGTAATAATATGCCTGTTATTATTTCATACTTATGTATTTTAGAAAACTTATAAGCGTGGTGTGATGGCGCTCATATGACTTTATGCAGTTGCGAGCGCCGTAAAACCTCTACTAAAACAAACAAACAAAGCGTGGTGCATCTACATGTTTTTCCATATGGCTCGAATCCAAGAAGTAACTCATTTTGTCAGCACGTTTCACATGAATTGTTTGAATACACAAAACATATCGCAGCCACAGATTTTGTTTTTTAGGAATGCGAAGACACCTGATTTGGGCATGTTTGGTTTGTATTATCCGCACAGATAAATTACGATGTATGTATATATATTATTATTATTATGTGAATTCTGTTGACCACGAAATGCTGAGTTTTGAGAATAAATTATTTTTTAAAAGTCAGTGGTGTTTAATGGTGTTTATATTATGTGTTCTACTCATTCCCCTCCGCCCTCTTTTCTCAGGTTGATCTTTCTTCCAATCCTCTTCCTCCTGTCTGTCTATCTGTCTGTCTGTCTGTCTGTCTGTCTGTCTGTCTCTCTGTCTGTCTCTCTGTCTGTCTCC